ACCAAGGGGCCAGCATGACTAGACACGGAACGCTGTTACCTTCCCACCTTGGTGGTACCTGTTTATCTACTTGCATTTGCATGCTTCCAAACTGCTAGGTTGGCAGGAGCTGGGACAAGTGACAGGGGCTCACTCCGTCACGTGGATTCGATCTTACGACTGCTTGATCTTCTGACCTTGCAGCACAGAGGCTTCTGCGGTTTAACCCACAGCGCCACCACATCCAAGTGGACCATACAACACACATCTTTCATCTTCCTAACCTACAGTGGTGACACTATGCTTGCCCCATTATCTGTAATAAACAGACTTTGCCTTTCATAGCTACACCCCTTTCAGAGCATCTTGAATGCTGTGAGCTGTGTGACTGCCTTCCATCACTGCCACATTCAACAGGATGCACCTGCATCCTGCCCTTCTGTCTTGCCCTATGCCTGACGCCTCCCCCTTCTACCAGTAACATGTTAGGGAGAAATAGCCATGTTTTGCATTCTGCCTACTCCAGATGTCATTTGTCACCTAGGCCCTGGCCAATTGCTGCTGTACCAGTTGCCTGACATCCTAATAGAAATCTGGCACCATGCTAAGGGTTATTCACTAAATAAATAAATAAATTCAGGGTGGTGATTGGCAATGGAGTGCCAGTTCTGCCACAACCTTACCAGTGCTCCCTGCCAGAGACAATGGCTAGTCAGGGCTCTCATCTCCCCTAGGCAATGAGTAATCCTGACATTTTAAAATTTGCAGAAGGCTTTCCCCTGCACCCCTCCAAGCTCATCCTGGGATGGATGGATATCCTGGAGCTTATTTTTGAGAGATGGGTCTGGCATATGCTGCATCCTACTTCTTCCTATTTGCTGATCTATCACCCTACTTTCCTGGGATGGTGTCTCGTGATGTGCCTTCTCATGACACTTGCCCTTCAAAATAAGGAAGCCACTTGATGCCACAGTACCCATTTCATTTGCCAGCAGCAATGTCCTGTGCTAAATCTTCAGGTGGCTGAACTATTGGAGAGGTGACCTATGACAGTGGTCCCCAATGCTGGGCCTCCAGATGTTTTTGAACTACAACTCCCAGAAGCCTTCATAACCACCTCTGATGGACAGGATTTCTGGGAGTTGAAGTCAAAGAACATCTGGAGGCCCAAGGTTGGGGACCACTGGCCTATGACCTGTCCATGCTTTAGCACCTTCTTCCAGTGAATGCACTCAGCCATTTGAGCACCAGTTGCACACTGCTGAAAATGCTTCCTAATTATTCACTTCTTTGGCGCTCCGCTTTTTGACTGTATGTTCCTAACAAGGTTTGATAACTTGTCATTGCTACTTATTCTGGCAATTGGTGGGGCAAGTGAAGCTGGAGGAGCAGAGATGATTCCACTATTAAATGCTTCCAAAATATTGCTCACCTGAGTCCCCTCAGTGTCCTCCTCCCCCACATCAGATGTGTATGTATTTGATGAATAGTTCTTCTCACCCATAATTCTGTGAGATTCAGATTTGCTGAGAATGGGGACCGGGATTGAAACCTTTCTTAAATATGATGGAGCTGCGTGGTAAGAATATGGAGGGCAATGTCTGGTGCTCTTCATAAATCCCTTTCCCAACTACATAAACAGTGGGCTACTTCTGCCTAAGTTGACAATGTTAATATGAGTACTGATGCCATCCTTGTTTTTCTCTGGCATATCAGCTCTTTGGGAGAAAAGTGACTTCTTCAACATCTTGTTTGGCCCCTTGCCCTGGGTGTCCTGGATGAATTGCACAAAGATATCACTGGAACATGTCTGAGATTCTCTTTTATCTACCCCTGGCTTCTCTGTCATCTCTATGGCAGAGATTAGAGATGGGCATGGGGGGGGGGGAAGAACCAGGAAATTCATCAAAAATCACTGGTTCATTGATTCAGGTTGGTTTCAAACTAGAGAACCCAAACTTTTCCAAACCAATGGACTTTTTCCTGATTTAACAAACTTCCTGGTTCAATTCCCCCGACACACATTCTGCTTCCTGCCCTATTTCCACTGCCCCCGTTGCCTCCCTACTTTTTTTTCCTGCTGCTGCCACCACCATTTAGAGAGACAGTGGCTCAGCTCCCCTTCCAGGAGTCAGGCATGCTATCTTTCTATTTCATGCACCTGCCTCCCAGCTAAGAGGTGGGCACATGTGCACAGGCAGCCGACTGAATAATAATAATAATAATAATAATAATAATAATAATAATAATAATAATAATAATCCAGACAAGATGGAAATCCTGTGGGTGGGGGCCACTAGGGTGTGTGGTCTGGGTGTCCCCTTGTCTATTGGGGGAGCCACTCTTTTCATGAAAGACGAGGTCCACAGCTTGGGCATATTTTGGAACCCAGCATTATCAATGGCATCACAGGTAGCAACTGTGGGCCAATCCACCTATTTCCATTTAAAGTGGATTGTCCATCTGTGTCCCTATGTAGATGCTGGGTCCCTCACCATGCTAGTTCATGTGCTGGTAGTCTTGAGATTAGACTACTGTAATGCCCTCTTATGAGGTGCTGCCCTTGGGACCACTACGGAGACTGCAACAGATCCAGAATGAGGCAGCCAGACTACTGAGTGGGGTCAGAAAATACCAACATCCCCCATCTTGGCCATCTTACACTGGTTACCTGTTTGTTTCTGTTCCAGCTTCAGGGTGATGCAATACCATAGGACTTATAAGGCCCTAAACAGGTTGGGACATCAATATCTAGCCAAGCGCCTCCTTCAGGTTAGGTCTGCCCGTCCAGTAAGATCATCACAGGCAGGGTGGCTGAGAGTTTTGACCCTGAGAGAGGCCCAGAAAACAACCATGAGAAATCGGACCTTCTTGGCAGTGGCTCCACAATTGTGGAATACCTTCCACAGTTCTGCCCAAAGTTCACCTGACCCCCTCACTAGGCACTTTTAAAAAGCTATTTAAAACCAGGCTATTTAGACAGGCCTTCCCAGAACAAATAACATCCTGATGAACAGTGCTTCTGATAATGTAACATTTACTATACCACCATTTCTTATGTTATTAAATGTAATGTATTGTATTGTGTTTCAATATGTCTCCAGTGGTATTTTATAGGGTTTTTTTGCACTTTTTAATTTATTGCTGTTGTCATATTTTGTTATTCTATTGTTCTTCTGTCTAGTTGTCGTAAACCACTCAGAGTGGCCGTGGCTGCCAGATGGGTGGTATATAACTCAAATAAATAAATAAATAAATAAATAAATGATCTTTTTGGCAGCCAGCCACCTGCCTGTCAGCCAGCCAGGTAGCCTCTGCGTACATCCCCACCTCTCACTTAAGAGATGGGGACATGTGCAGATGCCCTGTGGCCTGTTGACAGGCCAGCTGCCTTAAAATAATAATTATATACCTTTTTCTGTTGCAGCTGCCACCTCCATCTAGAGAGGCAGTAGCCCAGCTCCCCTTCCTAAAACAGAACATATACATGCTTTTGAGCATATCCCTGCCTCTCAGCATGGATTTGTGAATCTATTAATTCTAAATATTATTCCTCACTATATTAGGTATAGAAAAGACCCTGATGCTGGGAAAGTGTGAAGGCAAGAGGAGAAGGGGATGACAGAGGATGAGATGGTCGAATAGTGTCACTGAAGCGACCAACATGAATTTGACCCAACTCCAGAAGGCAGTGGAAGACAGGAGGGCCTGGCGTGCTCTGGTCCATGGGGTCACGAAGAGTCAGACATGACTTAACGACTGAACAACAACAAATATTAGGTAAACAAGACACAACACAATGTAGAGAATGTTTATGTCCCTGTGGATTTAGTCATTGTCAATTCAATGCACAGAACAAGTTAGTGAGGAACCAGTTAAACTAGCATTTATTTAAGTCACAATAACTACTATAGTTTAAATAGCAAAATGGACCATAGGATTAAATGATGCATTTTTCTGTTACTGAGTACCATCTTTTCCTTCCCTCCCTCTCCCTCCCTACATGTTGTTTTAAAAATTCCTTAAAAATTGTTATTTCTGAGGATAGCATTTGCTTTTTCAAGGTAAGAATCACTATCAACCTTTAGTGTGAGTACTGACTTTTAGATACAGTACTCTAATAAGTTTTTTAAGGTAAGTGAGATGGTTAGGAAGTGGTTTTACCAGTTCTACCTCCCACCCCCTAATGAGTTTCCAGAGCTGAATAGGAATTCAAACGTAGGCCTCTTGAGTCCTACTCCATCGCTCTCAACATGACATCGCTCTCTGGGTATATAACATTTAAATACTGTACATTGTTTAAAGACTATAGCCCAAATCCTGCTGAGGGAAAATGCATGTAAGGGCAACCACATAGCAATTCTTCTCTCCAGTAAGCTGCCCATTGAAAGTCTGATTTTTGCAACTAGTACATTACTGGTCACACAAAACAGAGTCTGCTGAAACAGTGAGATGATAATACAATCCTCCTTATGTGACTGAATCTAAGAATATGATTCTGGCCCATAGGTCTATGTTTTTCATGGGGAGACAATTTTAATATCCATATACATTTCAGTACAGTGGTGCCCCGCATGGCGACGATAATACGTTCCCAAAAAATTGTCGCTATACAGATTCGTCGCTATGTGGGGCAAAAAAGCCCATGGGAACGCATTAAAACACGTTTAATGCATTCCTATGGGCAAAAAACTCACCGTTATGCGAAAATCCTCCACACGTCCATCATTTTCGCTGCCCAGTAAGCAAGGAAAGGGCATGAAAACACTGCGGGCGACCATTTTTTTTACCCGGTGGCCATTTTGGAACCGCCGATCAGCTGTTAGAAAAAACATCGCAATGCAAAAATCAGTAAGCAAAATGCTTACCGATCATCACAAAGCGATGTTTTGCCATTGAAAACATCATTATACGATTGCTTTTGCGATCACAAAAAGCAAATTGCTATGCGGATTCATCGTTAAATGAATTGCTCGTTATGCAGGGCACCACTGTACTATGTGTTGTGGAAATGAAGACAGTTAATCTATGTGCAAGAGCCTTTTGACTACTAGCTGTGTGAGAGCCGCTTTAACATCAGTGTTTCTCAGAGAATATATGAGTGGGTTAAGGACTGGAGTCACTACTGAGTAAAGGATAGCAATAACCTTGTCTTCTTCTAAAGAATAAGCTGAAGTAGGCCGAAGGAAAGTGTAAAGTATTGTAGAATAGTAAATGCTGACCACCAAGACATGGGAAGAACATGTAGAGAAGGCTTTCATTTTTCCTTCTGTAGAACGGATTTTGAGGATGGTCCTCACGATAAGCCAGTAGGAGGTTAATGTCAATGCACAGCTACCTATAGCAATGAGCACAGAAGCTGCAAAAACCATGGTTTCATTAAGACTTGTGCTTGAACAGGAGATCTTGAACAAAGGTGGCAGCCCACAGAAGAAGTGATTGACGAGGTTGGAGCTGCAGAAAGAAAGCTGTAGAACAAGTCCGGTGTGAACTGCCGAATTGATCATACCTGTGAGCCACAGGCCAGCCATGGTCCCAAAACAAAACTCCTTTCTCATGATGACTGTATACTGGAGAGGATGGCAGATCGCAGCGTACCGGTCAAAGGCCATGAATGCAAGGAGCAGAAGCTCGGTCCCTAAAGCCAGTGTGAAAAGATAGACTTGCGCAATGCAGCCCACAAAGGTGATGCTCTTTTTCTGTGACAAAATGGTTTGTAGCATTTTGGGAACAGTAATGGAAATAGAACATACATTTATTACAGACAAATTGATAAGCAGAAAGTACATTGGTGTATGGAGCTTGTGACAAGTGCTAATGGCGAGGATGATGAGGAGATTGCTAACCAGTGCTGCAGCATAGATGCAGATGAAGGCCCAGAAAAGGAGCATCTGATGTTCAGGGGAGCTGGATAGACCCACCAGGTTGAATATTGCAATGGTAGAATGGTTCCTCATGTCCAAGATGATGACTGTGGAGGGCTAGATTTAACAACAACAATGTGTTTGGTTAAAACTTGTATTTGTTATATAATACTAGTCAATGTTTATATAATTTTTATTGACTGTGTTTGATTGATGATGATGATGATGATGATGATGATGATGATGATGATGATGATGCAGATCTCTGATACAACACAATTAAAGCTGCAAAAATGGCAAGATTGGGAACAGCATACATATTATACCAATATTTGATTAGTGTTTTTTGGTTAAAACTTGTATGTTATATAATACCGCTCAAAGAGAATGTCTTGTATTTCCAGAAGATAATAATTTCACTATATACATGTCAGACAGGAACACATGCATTAACCAGGAAGCTCATTGAATTCATCAGTCATAAGATATGAACTGGTCAGGTCATATTATGATGAACATCCTTAGGCTTAATCTTAGGAAATTGGATTTAATATTACAGCCCAAATTTGTGCTCTTGGTAGCAGATATACATATGCATGTAAGCAGATTGTTTCCCTTTTCAGTCTGAGCTGTTCAATGGTTGTACAACAGTCTACAGCTTGTATTCAGTTGCCTAAACTCAGAGCAAAAGGAAAATCAGCTCAGGCAGGTTGAATGTCATGTGTCCATTCTCATGCTAGTCATGAGACTGATCATCTACGTAAATGGTCACACAACAGAGAACCTGCTGTAGCAGAAAGAATACTTATGCAGTTTTCCTTGTATTCTGTGTTTAGCCAACATCTACTAGCCTGTAACTGGTGCAACTGTTACAAAAAAATTGCATACATTTAGCTCAGTTCTTCATTTGCTATCTTACTTTCTAGTGTGACCAGGGCAAAAGAAAATTTAGAGGTGAGACCCACCCAGTCCCATTTCACAAGCCACTCCTGCATTCCACTATTGTCATGATAGCTTATATAAAGACTACTTAATTTTACAGCAAGCCGGTGAGCTGGCTAAGGAGGGAAAATAATGATCCACCTATGGCCAATTGGTATGAAACATGGTTACCCCAAGCTAGGAACAACGTTTTATTCATTGTTCAGCAACATAGTGGTTTGTGACCATTGTAAGGGGCACCAACCAACGTTTCGAAATGAAATACCTGTTTCATCACACTTGATTCATATGCTGCCTTAACAGCTGAGCCAAAAGAAAAAAAGAAAAGAAAGTGTCTGGGAGAGGGGAAGATTTGTTAGTACAATTTTTGTCCCAGATACTTTTTATCTTGGGGGGGGGGGAAGTCCATTGCAAGTGGCACAATTCCTCAAGTGACAATACTGTAGAATGTTTGTCTAACAGGCCTAGTTCTGTGTGAATTCTGGACAAAAACATACCTTCAAGGGATTAAAATATCCCGTCCACATAGATAAGGGTTAAGAGCTGCTAACCACAAGACTTTTGGAATCAGACTAAAATAATATTTTCAACTGTTCTGGTGCAGAAAGGATGGAGAAAGGACTAGGTGCTCACCTTGGATCCAGCTTCTTGCAGTGAAATGTTTCCTTTTCATACGTAGCCTTCTCATGGAAATCATTAGAGCTAATGATCAGTAGATCTGATGCCTGCAAGTAATCACAGGTGTATTCTGTAGACAATTTCTGATATAGCCAAGAGTGGACACTTATTTCAGAAAGCTAAGCTGTGTATCATCAGATTCTAAATGTGTCCTTAAATAAGGTGTAGATGCTATCAGAGGGGAAAATCTCGGGTGATATAATTAGAATAATTAAGGGAAATACAAAGTCTTTGTCAATTGCATGTGTCTTACAGGAGGAGGAGGAGAGCCATACCATGATGCCATATTGTTAGACTGAGTTTCTTAAACATGCTAAACATTCATCATTATTCTTGAAATATTCTCACCTGCAGTTGACCATGTTTATCTTTTTAATTAAAGTGCATATACACAAAGACATTACTCATCCTTATTGTACTGATATTGTTTCATCACTGCAACGTTCTCCATCAAACTGTATTTACTGCATTACTGACATATTTTAATCACTTAGTATATTTTCCATCATATGATATCCCAAAAATACAATTCATGTAAAAAAAAAAACCATTTATGGAATAATGGGCCATATGTAGCTCATAGGCTGTAAGTTGCCTATACAAGTTTTAGATGGAATTAGAGAAATAACATATTTATTACATTTTAATTTTTGAGTCCTGCCATCCTTTGGTGGGTCATCAGGAGCTCCCTCTTCCCTCTCTTCTTCCATAAATGAGGATACTAGTGCTCACAATAAAACAAGATTTATTAAAGGTGGGGTGGGGGTGACCAACAACAGTAACTTTTTGCAACAGGCTCTTGTCAAGTGCTAACATTTTTGGGCATTGAATTGGACACAGTCCAACAGTCCAATAGGCTCCCAGAGGTTAAATTGTCTGAACACATAGTTCATTGAGACAGCTTCAAGAAACGGTAGGCCACCTTAACGTTCTGTGCAAGGTGGTGGCCCTAGGTAGACCTTTCTTATGAAGGGCCTTACAAAACCTCATCACAGGAGGAGACTAACAATGGGACTGAAAGAAGATCTGCGAGTTTGGCTAGGGGTTTTGGAGGAATTCAATTGGATTCCCTTCTGGTGGGAGGAGTTGTGTTTAAGGTCTGAACTGCAGGTTCAGGTGGATCCAGCAGGGTCAAGTGGTTATGGATCTTTTTCAAAGGTAAGTGCTGTGCATGGACGTAGCCCGGCAGAGTGGAACATTCAGGGAGTCATCAGAGACCTCACCTTTTTGAAGCTTTTTCCAGTCATTGGTGCTTCGTGGTTGTGGGCTCACGAGTGCGCTAACTCTGTGGTTATGTTCTGATGCGATAACCAGGTGGTGGTGCACATTGTTAACTGCTTGTCATCTAGATCGTAGAGAGTAATGGTTCTTGTTAGGGCCCTTCCACTTTAATATAGGAGCTTACAGTTTAATATAGTTCTTCAAGCTCACCATAGCAATTTGGTCTTGAGTTCCTCTGCCCCTTTGAAATCTGCCTTGTACTTCTGGGAGTTCTCTGAAGCCTAACTTATAGGATTTTGAGCATAACCTTGCTAACGTGTGAAATGAGTGCAATTGTATGGTAGTTGGAGCATTCTTTGGCACTGCCCTTATTTGGGATTGGGATGTAGAACTGATCTTTTCCAATCCTCTGGTCACTGCTGTGTTTTCCAAACTTGCTGGCATATTGAATGTAGCACCTTAACAGCATCATCTTTCAAGATTTTAAATACTTCACCTGGAATGCCATCACCTCCACTGACCTCGTTAGCCAGGCTTTCTAAGGCCCACTTGACTTCACTCTCCAGGATGTCTGGCTCAAGGTCAGCAACCGCACTATTTGGGTTGTTCAGCAACTGCTCGCAAGAATGACATAGAGGGCTATCCATTTATTTAATTTATCTAAAGAATGTTTATCTTACCTTTCTCCTTAAAAAGAACCCAAGATGGCTATGTTCATATGTGATTGGATGAACGAAAAAGGGGAGGACAACAAGCATTGAGACATTATTTACTCATTTATTTATTTTCTTGCTTATTTATTCATCATATTAAAAAGGGTGTAGCATTCACCCTGCTCATGAATATTTATATTGAAATTTGCATGCACCAATAGGAGTTGGTGACAGTGGAGTTAAGTGGGGGAAAAGAAAAGGAGAGAGAGGGAGAGTAGGAGTAGGCAGTTGAGAGTGGAGAAAGAAGGTTGTTTAGTTGAGAGTTAACGACATTGACTGGACTGTTATCACCTGTAACAATAAACAATTTCTACTTGGTTCTTAAATAATACGTTGCCTGGACCTCTATCATTAATAGTGAACTAAGTTGGTGTAATGAACTGGTGGCAGCTGAACAACACGGCAGCTGAACTACACGTACTGTGTGCCTTTGTTTGGTGAAACGAGTAAGGGCCATGCGGGAACGTGACAAAGGGTTATAAAGTATTTCATTGTATCAAGAAGGTCTATATTCGAAGCTACTGGAATTAAATTGCCTTTCCCCCTTTGTCATCAGAGACTTGGTGATGCCTGCAAGCGTTCTAAGCTCTGTGAGAGCTGCAAAACATTAAGAGATGGTAGAGGGTGCCTCTATCTGTTGCCATGGAGCATTCATTTCTTTTTTGGAAATGAAAGAGACCTCCAATACTGTATATGTTTTTGAAAACAATAGCACTAAAACTGCAATAAATTGCAAGGATAAAACAGCTACACATAAATCAGGCTAAATTGAATACACAATTCATGAAGTTTAAAACTATTCAAAGCAAATAAAAAGCCTTCAAAGGTAACACAACAGCCTCAGTCTTTAAAGAACATGATCATTGGAGCAAAAAATGGTTTAAATTAAATTGATTTTGTTTGCAGATGGAAGGATGAGGGAGTGGGATTTGCATCACTTAGGAGGATTTAGTTTCTTCTCCTCACCAGATACTCCTACCATTCTTGTCACCAGATGATTAAAGGCATACGTTTTAGAAATTGCCTTCCTCCACTTTTGGTAAATTGTTCCCTTTTAACATATCTATTATACTATTCCCAATCACAAGTTAGGAAAATATATTTCCTCCTCAGTTATTCTCATGTCACACCATGAACTACTGATATATCTTGAGCTTTTTCTTTGGATATATATGTGAAGATCCTTTTCTTTGGATGTAACTAACAGCGTTCCAACTTCAATTATGCTTTTTAAGCATTTTCCAGAGAAGAGTTTTCAATTCTTTGTTTTTTAGACTGTATATGATTGGGTTGAACATATGATTGGGTTAACAGTGTTGTTCACAGTTGATGAGAGGTGTACATTTTTCACTATTGGTTTCCTCCAGTATCAATAAATTGCCACCCTTTTATATACTCATTAGATTATTCTCTATAAGAATATATCAAAATGCATTTCTCAGCTATTGTCATGACACACCACATATTGTTTGCATACCTTGAATCATATATTTGGATATAATTAAGTAGCTTTGCAGCATTACTTATGCTTTCCAAATCTTTTCCATAGAATAACTTTCAATTCTTTGTTTTTCAGACTATATATGATTGGGTTTAACATAGGAGTTAAAATTAAGTACTGGATAGAACTCACTTTGTCAAGGTCTGTGAAAGATTTAGAATGTGGCTGCAAGTTTCTAGAAAAAGCCGAAAGATAAAACAAGCAAACAACAATAAGGTGAGAGCTACAGGTGGAAAAGGCTTTGATCCTGCCTTTTGTGGACTGAATCTTGAGGATGGAGGAAATAATATAAATGTACGAGACCATGGTGAGGAAGAAGGAGGTGAAACCAAAGAGAAAACAAGAGGCAAGTATCAGCTTATAATTGATGGAAGTGTCACTACATGACAAACTCAGAACTGCAGAAAGCTCACAGGTGAAGTGACTGATTAGATTGTTCTCACAGAATTGCAAACCTATGAAAGGCATTGTGTTGAGTGTTGCATCAAGGAAAGCAATGACCCAAGCTCCGCCTACCAGTTTCCAGCATACAGGTTTTGTCATTACGATTGAATAATGGAGTGGGTCGCATATAGCAACATATCTGTCATATGCCATGGCTGAAAGCAGAAAAACATCAACACAGGCAAAATAGACAAAGAAGAAAATCTGTGTCATGCATCCCACGAGGGAAATGGATTTTTTCATGGATATTAGGGTTTCCAGCAGCTTTGGGACAGTGACGGAGGAGTAAGAAATGTCAACAATGGCAAGATGGCTGAGAAAGAAGAACATGGGGGTCTGTAGGCTCATTTCTGTCTTGATAATGAAAATGATGACAGAGTTTCCAATCAATGTTGTGGCATATATTATTAGGAACAGAAAGAAGAGAAGAATCTGTACTTCGGAGTCACCTGAAAGTCCCAAGAGAATAAATTCTGTAAGCTTGGTATGATTTTCTGTGTTGTTGCAATGAACGTCTGTAAAAGGAAGAGAAATAGGTTGAAAGATGAAATTAAATGTAAAATAATCAGACTTTTAATATTACTGAAACCCTCCAACAACTCATGAATTGTTTTAGCAAGGCCTGCTAAGACTTTGGATTAACAATCAGCCTGAAGAAAACACAAGTCATGGGCCAGGGC